TTGTGATCTGTTACGATGACAAATTCTCATCTGTAAAGATATTGGTGGAACTTCCTCACACCACATACAACCACTAAACTTTCTTTCTCTATCTGGGCATATTTGCATTCGGCATCAGCCAAAATCCAGGAAGCATACGCTATGGGGCATTCTTCTCCATTGGGCCACCGGTGAGCCAATACTACCCCGATACCCTACAGGGAGGTATCGCATGTCAGCATTTCCTCTCACATTGGATCGTAATGCACCAACACTTTAGATGGTGATAGCTGCTTTTTCACTTCCCTAAAGGCTGCTTCTTGGCTACATAACCATTTCCCAGGCTGACCTTTTTCAAAAGCAGGTGTAAGGGTGTGAAGATGGAGGCCAGGTTACGTATGAATTTTCTGTAATAATTCCCCAGCCCAAGGAAAGACCTAAGCTCCGATACAGACATGGAAGCCAGGGCTCCTTTGATCGCCCTCACTTTCTCTTCCGACGGGTGTAATCTGGTTTTTTCTGTAACCCAGTAGGTCACTTGGGGTGCCTGGAACATACATTTTTCCCATCTAAGGTGTATGTCTAACTGGGAGAAATGTTTAAGCACTATGTCCAAGTTCCCCAAGTGCTCTTTATTGGTCTCCCCTGTTATTAGTACATCATCCAGATAAACTGCAACCTGGGATAGCCCTTGAAAACTGTTCTCCATGGACCACTGGAAAAGGGCGCAGGCTGATGATACCCCAAATGGCAGTCTATATATTGATGCAAATCCTTATGGGTATTAATTATAGCGTACTTCTCGGACACCTCATCCAATTCGCAATTGCGGGTAGATGTGACTCATGTCCAGCTTCTAAAGAACAACACCCCCACCAACTTTGCGTACAAGTCCTCTATGCGAGGGATTCAGTATATTTCCAGCTCCGAAAAGCAGTTTACCATTTGCTTAAAATCCCCACTAAGGCAATCTGAGCCATCAGGCTTCACAATCGGTACGACCGGTGCTGCCCATTCCGCAAACCGCGGCTGGTTTGATGATTCCTTCACCCTCCAGTCTCCTGATTTCTGCCTCTACTTTTGCCCACAAGGCAAATTGCACTGGGCGGGGCTTGCAAAATCTCAGAATTGCATCCTGGTCAACATATCAAGTGGCTATGGACCCTTTGATAGTCCCAATCCCTTCTTGAAAATCTCCTGGGTATTTCACTAGGACCTCACTGAGGCAGTCTCTTTCCAATCAAAAAATGTTGAGCCAATCTCGGTGAATTTTTCTCAGCCAATTTTGCCCCAGTAGGCTTGGGCCTGAGCCTTTTACTACCAACAGTAGTAACTGTACCAACTGCTTCTTACAGGAGACTGGAACCACAGTCGTACCCTTAATTTGCAATGGGTTCCCCAGTGTATGTTCTCTGTCTGGCTGTAGTCTTGTGAAAGCTTAAAGGCTGGAGTCCCGAGTGAATCTTGTTAAAGACAGACTCTGCAGCCAGATACAGCTGTGTCAGTATTGACCTCCAGGGGAACTGGGTAACCATTTAACCAAACCTTAATTTAAATCAGTTCCAACTGGGATGTCTCTAAGAAATTTAATTGTTCCAACCAACATGTAGGGGGGACTTTCCAGGGTTTGCACTCTCCTGGGTACCAGCCTACGAGTTTTCTTACTCAAGTCAGGTCTTGTAGGACTCCTTTGCTATCTCGAGTCCGCACATCAACAGCAACTACAGTGGCTTTCCAGCCCAGATCCTCAGGAACTGTTTAAACACTTGGACGAGGCTCAGATTTTTTATGGGGTTCCGCTGTGGGTTGGCCCAGGGTCCCTCTGCTCAGGAGATGCCCTGCATAAGGCTCCGTGATTGCCTACACTCAAGTGGTGTTCCCCAAGCTCAGTTGGACAGATGAGGGTGTCCACTTTCATTGGGATGCCCTGTAGTTCTCATGCTCCACTTGCTGCATTAAGCGAGCATGAGAACTGCAGGGCATCCCAATGGAAGTGGACACCCTCATCTGTCCAATGGAGCTTGGGGAACACCATTTGAGTGTAAGCAATCGCAATGCTAGCTGCAGTGCCTGTTTCAATTCTATTTGGATTTCAGCTAATAAGTGCTTCTGCATGGTTACATCATTAATCCTACCTACCAAATGGTCTCTCAGCATGCCAGTCATCTCAACCGCATTAAAAATCCTGAAGTGGATTCCCCCGGTTCTCTAACAGCTGAATAAAACTGTCAGCATCTCAGGATTAGAGGTGGTTTGGGGTCATAATATTCCTTAACCAGCTCTATCAACTCTTGGAAAGTTTCAGTGTCTGGTGCCTCTGAGAAAGTTAAGCCCCTTATAACCAAGAATGCTGCAGGTCTGCAAGCAGTCAGAAGGATTACTCGTTGTTTTTCATCTGCCACAATGTCATTTGTCTCCACATCAGTCCCAGTCTTCGACAGCAGGATCAAATGAGTCAAGCTTTCCAAATAGATGCATGATGCTAGAAATGCTTACACCAACTCCAAGATGACAGTTGCAAGCAAATATTCTTCAAGCGTGTCCTGTTTTCTCCCGTCACCACTGAAATAACTGCACAGAGGCCAGTATCCCATCACCAAGTCACCGTTTATTTATTTGTGCATAATACACTGGCTGTCACCAGCCAGCTCAGAGTCAGTCCTCAACTGAGGAAATTCTAATCTCCCTGTTTATATTGGTCAGCCAGGGCTTACCTGATTGGCCCAGGTTAACAACCCCAATCAAGAACCTCATAGTCAATGAGGTCTACCTGGTTCCAATCACTGTACTTTCAAATGCTGTTGTCTGGCTACATATATCACATATAAACTAGGAGTAGAGGTAGGCCATTCAACCCTTTGAGCCTTCTCCACCATTCAATATGACCATGGCCGATCCTCTATCTCAATGTCATATTCCCACTTTCTCCACAGACCCCTTGATGACTTTAAAATCTAAACTTATCAATCTCTTTCTTAAATATATTCAGTGACTTGGCTCCCACAGCCTTCCATGATAGAGAATTCCACAGGTTCACTTATCTTTGAATGAAATGTTTCCTCATCTCAATCTGAAATAGCCTACCTCATATCCTGAGACTATGACCACTGGCTCTAGACTACCCAACCAGGGAAAACATTCTCTCTGCAAGTAGTCTGTCTAGCCCTGTTAGAATTTTGTACATTTCAATCAAACTCCCTTGCAATCTTCTGAACTCTAGGAAAGTCAAGATCCAGTCAGGTCCAGTTAAACCAAACTCTTCTCATAGGACAGTCCTGTCAATCCTGCTATTAGCCTAGGGAAACTCTGTTGCAATTTGTCTATGGCAAGTACAGCCTTTCTTAGGTAGGGAGACCAAAACTGCACACAATACTCCAGGTGTGGTCTCACCAAGACCATATATAAAAGCAATAATTACATTCCTACTTCCTAATTGCTTGCTGCATTGTTATCTACTTTCATTGACTTGTGTGGGAGGACACACAGATCTCCAAATATATCACCAATTAATTATTGGTCTTTCTTCCTTTTTGTTTTACACAGAAGTGTATGACTTCACATTTAGTCATGCTGTACTGCATCTGCTGTGTTGTATTTGGTTCCCACATCCAGGTCATTATGGGACCCAGACACTGATGCTCGTGATACCGGCCGCCTGGGGAAAAAAAAGACCCACTTATTCCTACTACAAGGTGCAGAGCTGGATGAACACAGCAGGCCAAGCAGCATCATAGGAGCAGA